AAAGAGAGAGGGATCATAGCAGTCGAACCCTAGGGTCTCCTTGAATACTGTAATCTTTCTAAAGATTTAGGAAAATTAAGTTGGAGAGATGGCTCTTACTCTGCAAGCCTGGCAAGCCGAGTTTGACCCCCGAACTCACATAAAGATGCAAAAAGAAAAATGGCTTCGCGGAGTTGTTTCCTGCCCTCCATGTTGGCACACTAAATAATAAATGAAGTTGTGGAGCTGGAGAGATGGTACCTCGAATAAGAGCCCTGTTGCTCTTGCAGAGGATCTGGGTAGAGCTCCCAGCCCCTCCGAAGGCACCAGGTGAGCCCAGGGTGCACATTCATACTTGCAGGCAAAACGCCCATACATATAAAATAAAACTAAAAGAAAATTCAGCACATACAAAGACACATATGAGTAGCTTCTCTGTGAGTGTGTGCTGTCAGAGCTCTAGCCTGGCGCCTCATTCCCACCACACAAGCACCTGCCACTAAGCTAGCTACACCCACAGCACTAGATACTGACTTTTGGTTTTTGAAATTGTACACGTAGTTTTTTAAATTGTAATGTTTTATTAGCATGTTAATTATACACAACAATAGTTTTCAGTATGTTTCATATATGTGCATAACATATTTCAATCTTCTTCACACACATACATACCCTTACCATCTCCTGTCTCCATCTACTAGTGTTGATCCCTTTCCCACTAAATAGCAACTTTGCTTGTTTGTTTGTTAGTCTTACTCAGTAGCCCAGGCTTACCCTGAACTCACTTCCTCCCTCTTTGCTTCCCAAATGCTGAGATTACAGACATAAGACCCCATCCAAGTCTTAACAGCAGGATTTTGGGTGGGGAGCTTTCATTTATTTTTTGTAAAGATTTGATCTCTGTTTGTGTGCGTGTGCACACATGCAAGTGTGTGGATACTGGTACCCACAGAGGTCAGAAGAGAGTGTCAGATACCCCGGAGCTGGAGTTAGAGTAGCTGCAGGCCACCCACCTAGATCCTCTGGAACAACAGCAAGTCTCATAGCTGCTCAGCCTTCTCTTCAGGCCCAAACAACGGTTTTTAAGGTTCAATTAATATTGGTCTGATTATAACATTGATCTGATTCATTTCTGAGTTAAAATGCACCTACAGTCTGGCCACACAGTCAATGACATAGCCTGGACCCAGTAATAAACTACGGACTCCAAACACGGCTACTTGACCAGTAGAAATTGAACTGGAGCTGGGTTTTGCGTGCCTCGTGCACTTCCAGGGAGTTACACCCACGGCTATCTGACACAGCAGCTGCTGAGGACCTTCCGTCCTTCCCCATTACTACGGTTACAGGGCCTCCTCCAGCTGGGGGTAGTACTGCAGACATGGAATCCCAATACTGGGAGACTAAGGCAGAAGGACTTCACGACCGTAGTAAGCGCAGCACTCAGGAAGATAGTCTTGAATGGGAGACCGGAGGCCAGTCTGTTCTTGCATTTGATAGAAAAGCAACATTAGGGAAGCCTGTCACCCAGACTTAACAACAACAACAAAAAACCCAAATAGTCAATTTGGGTATGTTTGTTAAAAAATATTAACATATATACAAGAAACCATGCTTCTTCAGGCCCTGAATTTGATCTATGGACTTATGTATCTAGTGTTTTGGGTTTTTTTTTTTTTTCTTATTTCAACTCTTGTTCTTTACTTCCTTCCTTGGACACAACAGTCAAGTAAGTTTTTGTTTTTGTTTTTTTGGAAAAATCCAGGGCTAAAACTTGTTTTCCAACAGCTAATGCAAATCGCCCTTCACCTAGGTCACAAGTAAAGTTTTTAGCATTAAAGCATGGTTTAAATGGATGTTTAAAAAGACATCTACCAAACTAGAATTAGCTATTAACTCGTGTTCTTTTCAAAACAAGTTTTATCTTCATCTGCCCCCTTCAACTCTGGGGGTCCAGTGAGCCCTAATATGCTGAGAATGCTATGCTCATACTTCACTGATTCCCCCAAATATACACTAGGAAAAGGACACAGGGATCAAAGTTCTGAAAAAGAACAAGACAGAATTCCCCAGCATTGACCGTGAAGGTGGTACTGGGCTTCCTGGTTCTGTACACTCTGACAGCCCAGCCGGTGGCTCCTGTTTCAACTCGCTGAAGACTAGCAAAAGCTGTGTCAGGACAAGCTCTGGCGGCGTGGGGTAGAAAGAGTATACAACCGACGGTCTGCTGAGTGGACAAGAAGCCCACAAGTTGGGAGCCAACAACTGACTCAGCGCATTAGTGGGCTGGTTTGCTTACTTGAGCGTGAGTTCAGGAGGCTCAAACTAGGTTACAAACTAAAGTACTACAGTAAAGCAACATTTTAGACATCATTTGGGTTTTAAAATGAGCCACAAAGCACAAAATAATTATTTTATCTTTTATCGACAATTTATTTCTTTTCCCCTCTTTTTTTTTAAAATACATTTATCTATTTAGTGTGAGTATATGTATTTGTGCACACGTGTGTGCTTGTGAGAGCAGCCATCTGGAGGTCAGAAGGAAACTCGTAAAAATCTGTTCTCTCCTTCAATCAAACGGGACATGCCAATTGAACTCAAGTCACCAGGCTTGACAGCAAGTACCTTGACTATGTGTTATCTGTGCCCACCTTTTCTTTCCTAAGAGACAGGGTCTTTCATATTAGCCCAGGCTGGTCCAGTACTCACTATGAAATTCGAACTACTCTCAAAACTGAGGCATTCCTGCCTCAGCTTCCTAAGAGCTGGATTAGACAAGAGCCACCACACTCTGCTCATGAATGACTACTTGTTCTAATAAAAAGATGTTAAAATAATAGTGCTAAGCATACATAGAAAACTGCTAACACTTATTTTGCTATTAAAGTGGACGTAAGCAGCTTTAGGTTTTAATAAATGGCTCTTAAGGGCAAGTTTGTATCCTCTGCAGGCTGGAGAGATGGCTCAGCTGTTAAGAGAGCATATTTCCCTAGCAAACACTCGAGTTTGGTTCCCAGCACCCACTTCAGTTGACTCACAGACACCTATAAATCCAGCCCCAAAGGATACAATGCTCTCTTATCTCCAAGGAGAGTTTCATTCATATACCCCCACCATATGCACACATAATTAAAAATAAAATCTCACAAAGTAAGAAGAATATATCATCTGTTACCTATAGTGTTTTTAAGCAGGGTCTTTGGACACCAGGTAGAATTAAGAATCCAGTGAAACAGAATCTCTGTCAGTTGTGCAACATAAAGACCAGCTGATCATGATCTGGAAAGATGGCTCAGCAATTAAGAGTGCTCGATTCTCTTGCAGAGGACCTGGCTTTGTTTCCCAGCACCCAGAGCACATTGGACAACTCAGAGCTGCCTATAACTACAGTTCCAGGGGGATCCAGGGACCTCTTCTGGACTCCATGGGCTTTTGTAGGCACCATCATGCTCTTGACAAACAGGCCCAAACACAGACATAAAGATGTTTAAACCAGGGCTGGAGAGATGGCTCGGAGGTTAAGAGCACTGATTGCTCTTCCAGAGGTCCTGAGTTCAATTCCCAGTAACCACATGGTGGCTCACAGCCATCTATAATGAGATCTGGTGCCCTCTTCTGGCATGCAAGCATACATGGAAGGATTGTTGTATAAATAAATAAATAAATAAATAAGATGTTTAAACTAGCAGATCAGTCAGGGTAATCCAATGCCTCTGACCTTCACTGTGACCTTCCAAGCACACAATACATCACAAGCACCAACACACACATATCACAATGTGAACCTACACATAAAAATTATAAAAGTAGCCGGGTGGTGGTGGCACATGCCTTTTATCACAGCACTCAGGAGGCAGAGGCAGTGGATCTCTGTGAGTTCGAGGCCAGCCTGGTCTACAAGAACTAGTTCCAGGACAGAACAGCTAGGGCTATTACACACAGAAACCCTATCTCAAAACAACAGCAAACAACAACAAAACAAACAAAAAAATCCCCACCTGATTATTACAAATATCTTGAATAGGCGAAAGGTATTTACTACTCCCAGATAACTCCTAAACTTCCCAGCAACCCTACAGGATAGGTTTTATGTTACAGATGTAAAACTGTGATAGAAATTAACAACTAACGATCATAATATTGAGATGTGGCAGACACAAATGCTACTGGAGACATGACAATTTGGATCCTGTTCTATATAGACCCATGGACTTATAGCCAGTCCCACCTTGTCAGATAGGCTAACAGGACCACTATCCAGAATCCGAGAACCACACACTGGATCCTTTTGCCATCTGGATGCCTCTCCTGAATCGGTCAGAGCACTTTCATGAAACATCTACAAGAATTTTATCAGGGCCTGGTGGCAAAGGTCTTATAATCTCAGCTCCTCAAGAAGCTGAGGCAGGAGGATCAAGTTCATGGCCACCTGGACAACTTAGTGAGAGCCTATCTCAAAAAGTGAAAAAGCTATGTGGGGATATGTTGTTTAGTGGTTAGGCACTTGACTAGGATGTAGGAAGCCCTGTGTTCTCTCCCTGCCGAATAACAGATTTCTATGTCACAGGATTGAGAGGCATCAAAGTTGTCTTGATAAATGGATCTTAGAAACGGTTGAGGCCTTTACAAATAAAAAGTTTCCTTAGTCGACAAGTTTGTCTTTGAGTCCATCTGTTGATTGATGCTAATAATCACTGCATATCCTGTAGCCAATGTAAACCACACAATGAATTAACTTACTGTAATTGAAACACTAAATTCAGTCCAAATTTTATTCTTTAACAAAACACTTCCATTTTCAGTTTTGTGGCTCACCAATGAAACGTCCGACGAGCGCTCTGGGACCAGACAAACTGTTTTCCCCGTCCCAGCCCTCTTTCCACTGGTTGTTTTCCGGACAGTCCATTGATTCCGGGTTCTATGAAACTTTGTCCTCAAGCCAGGACCCTAGCCCACCTGTGAGTCCCGCTTCTGCTGCCAGGGGGCGCTGCGCTCCGCGCCACTTGCCGGCGATGCGCGCGCAGTGAGAAGGCGATGCCCGCCCGACACGACGCGCACGCCCAGGAGGGACGGACTCTGTAGGGCAAGATGGCGCCGTCTGCTGTACTGCGCCCGTTTTCGCGGCTGCTGGCCCCGGCCAGGTTCCCGAGCTGCTGTGAGTGTCTCCAGGCCCATTCGGCTCTCGGCCTACTCCCACCCAGCACTGACCACCCTGGAACCTCCGGAGGAGGTCGCGGTTCAGGCCGACCTGCAGTGACCTTCACCGGCCGCGGTCCGCGTTCTCCACTCCGCAACATCGGCCGTCAGCCCTCCTCCAAATTACCTGCCCTCTTGAGAGTAGATTTTGTGTCTTTTTGTCCCCGGCTCTACAAACATGCTCAAGAGACAACAAACAGGGAGGTCCTTCCCGGGCTGCCTCTCATCCTCCCACTCCCGAGCCTGTGAAGGCTAGCGACACTTTAACAAGGTTTTGAGGGCGTCCTGAGTACCAAAGACGGCCATGTGGCTCTGCTGGTGGCCGGACAAGTTACTTTTGTTTTCTGGACTATGCCCAGATTGTGGTTAGGCAGATAGAGTATAAATGACGATGTAAAACCAGGGATGGTGGGGCTGTCTTGGAATCTCAGCCCTGGGAAGGTGGAGACAGGTGATCAGGAATTCAAGACCATCCTGGGCTACAAGAACTCCTATCTCAGAAGAGAAAATTTCAAGCACACTAGTAAATGTTAAGTTTTCCTCGCTACAAGTAAGTAAGATACATAATCTCTTTCTTTTTTCAGCTTCAGTGCGGTCAAAGTTCTACGTCCGGGAGCCAGTCAATGCCAAACCTAACTGGCTGAAAGTTGGGCTGACCTTGGGCACCTCGGTTTTCCTGTGGATTTATGTGAGTATCTTCCCCATCGGAATCCCTGGAACTGCAGTTACAAACGTTTGTGATGTCAGTTGTTGGTCCTGGGAACCAAACTTCGGTCCTTTGCAAGCAGTACACGGCTCTTAACTGCAAAACCATCTTTACAGCACCAATTTTATATTCATTCTCGAAATTTTCCCCTGATGGAAGGCTTAATTACTGCCAAGAGCATTAAGGATTGAAATTAGGTCTTTGATTCCCATGAATGCCATCATGTATCAATCATTGTTCCAGCCACATAATCGATCAGATGGTGGGTCTAAGAAAATAGCTGTTCCCTGACGTCACACACAGAGAGGTGAGGGATGGCTTGGTCTCTCACGCACAGTGGCAGGCTGCTAAGACTGGAATACAGTATGCACCGTAGGATAGAATGGACCTATCCTCTACGTGAGCACACACAGGCAAGCTCACCTGTCCATAGATTTACACATACACACACATATACAGACAAGCTCACCTGCCCATAGATTTACACACACACACACATGTACATAGGCAAGTTCACCTGTCCATAGATTTACACATACACACATACATAGGCAAGCTCACCTGTCCATAGATTTACACACACATACACACACACACACATACACAGGCAAGCTCACCTGTCCACAGATTCACACACACACATACACAGCCAAGCTCACCTGTCCATAGATTTACACATACACACACATGCAAGCTCACCTGTTCATATATTCACACACACACACACACACACACATATCCCATACAGTATAGCATTTACTTATCAACCAGCCTGGGGCACGTGTGACAACGACAGTGTCATGGTTTGTAATTCTCCTGTCGTCATGTGCTTTCCCTTGTAGCATTCTCAAATCTAGTGTCAGGTTGTGGCCAACAAATGTACTCCACTAATGATCTTTTGATTTGAATTTTTTTGCTTCTTATATCTAGTAAAATAGTAATTGTTTTAACCTACCCTATTTCTCTTACGAATCATAAGGATCTTTACATGATTTCTTCCTCTTTAAACTACCAGAAAGATTACATTTCTAGTTTTAACCATTAACTTCTAGCTCATCAAACAACATAATGAAGATGTTTTGGAGTATAAAAGAAGAAATGGATTGGAGTAAACTTTGGAGATATTAATATAGTAAGTATGTTTATGAATTATATAGATTATGGAAGTTAATTGATCTGTTTGTGGCTGTGACAGGGGCTCACCACTGCACATAGTAGCACATGCCTTTTTTTAGTGCCAGCACTAGGGACGTAGGCAGATCCCTGTGAGGCCAACCTGGTCTACATAGTGAGTTCCACGATAGCCAAGGCTAAATAGAGAGACCTTGTCTCAAAAAAGAGGAAGGCAGGGTCTTATTGTATATCTTTGAACTCTTTATGTAGACCAGGATCCACCTGACTCTACCTCCTAAGTGCTGGGATTTAAGGAGTATGCCAGGACTCTAGACCTGCAGAATAGCCCCAGGACTGGATGAAGTCATACTCATCTGTAATGCCAATACTGCAGAGTCTGTGACCAGGAAATAATTAGTCTGAGGCTAGCCTGATCTGCACAGCAAGACCCAGGCCCAAACAAAGACAGTAAGGACAAGCAACAATAAACCAAAATCACCTTAAAATCATGTCTTCTTTACTAGTACTTTACCCAGTGTGTTCATAGCACTTAGGACAGTTGGCATGATTTGTGTGTGTTTGCCATGTTTTCTACTTAAGTGTGGATTCTGTAAGAGCAGAATTCCTATCTATTGTATTAATGTTTATGTTCTCAACACTGCACTGCACTGAATACCCAGCCATTTTAGGAGTTTAATGTTCGTAGAATGAATGAATGTGTAAAGGCAACGGATTCTGCATTTTTCTGCTTAACCGTTTCATTATGATTGTCACTGTATCTAGCATCCAACTGAAGAATTCAGGTAAAACCTAATATGAGATAATGTATTTTACATGCTCTAATTTAAAAGAGAGACATTTGTGAGTCTGTATGTGCACATGTATCACACATAACATGCATATGCTATGTGTATTATATAAACATGTACTGTATATATTTTATTCCTGAAAATTATTTGAGAGAAATCCTTTACTCGGGGGCTGGAGAGAAGGCTCAGTGGTTAAGAGCACTGACTGCTCTTCCAAAGGTCCTGTGTTCAATTCCCAGCAACCGCATGGTGGCTCACAACCATCTGTAATGAGATCTGGTGCCCTCTTCTGGCCTGCAGGCATACACACAGACAGAATTCTGAGAATATTGTATACATAATAAATAAATTTTTAAAAAAAATAAAATTAAATTAAAAAAAATCCTTTACTCTTTATGAAGTGAAAAATCCCTCATTTTAAAAAAACCCTTAGCTTCTGGGCTGAGGAGATAGCTCAGGGTTAAAACAGCTGCCACACCTGCATGAGGCACAGAGCTCAGATCCCCAGAGCCTGAGTAAGGATGATTTGGCCACCACTTGTGATTCCAAAATTCTGAAGGGGAACAGAGGATCCCCAGAATAAGATGGCTAATTAACCACTGGTGAGCTCTGGGGTCAACTTCAGTGACTAAGGTGGAAAGCCATTGACAAAGACTCCCAGTGTCAGTAGACCTTCACATGCGCGCGCACACACGCAGACATGTGTGCACACCACACACACACATATCTCAGTGCCTGTGGATTATCTGGTAGATAATAATCTACCATAATAATAATTTACTATAAACATAGTAAGCACAAAACACTTTAGGGTTTATTATCTAAATCTTTTGCCTCTTTTTTCTATTAATACCACTTTGTCCATTTCAGTGTTACTGATATAAATTTAAAATCAAGTACTGATTCTATTTAATGGATATATTTTCTAGATTTTTTTTTTCCTGGTGCTCTAAAGTGAATTATTCAGAGAAGTCTGGTTTTAACATTATCTGATTAGTGCCTTGGATTGGTTTTTTTTTCTTTTCTTTTCCTTGTAGGTCTACTTCATATGCTGGAGTCCATTCCTCCGGATTCATCCGTCTGTTGAGTTGTGGCTATGAGGGGAAAGTATATGTAAATATGTATCAGTCAAGTTAACGTGGATTTTACTTTATTAAATAAAAGTACTTATGTTCTTCATGTGTAGAGATGTATTCACTAATCAATGCTGATGGATTCTTTTCAGCTTTTAACTTTTTATGTGTTTGTATGAGTGCTTGTATATATGTGTGTACCGTAACATGCAGTGCTCATAGAACCCTAGGCTGGGTCTGTGGTGCTTGACAAAGGCCTTGGGAACTAAACCTGGATTCTCTGCAAAAGTACCAAGTGCTTCTAACTGCTGAGCCCCTCTGTCACCTTCCTACCTGCCTCCCTTCTTCCCTCCCTTCCTCCTTCCCCCCCACCTCCTTCCCTCCCTTCTATTTCCCTTCCTCCATTTCTTCCTTCTTTTTTTGTTTTGTTTTCTTTTTGTTTTTTGAGACAAGGTTTCGGACAGAGTTCTGGCTGACCTGGAACTCACTCTGTAGACCAGGTTGGCCTCAAACTGACAGAGATCCGCCTGCCTCTGCCTTCCAAGTGCTGGAATTAAAGGTATGCACCACCACTACCTGGTTTTTTATTTTTTATTTTTTAATTTTAATTTATTTTTTTGAGACATTAGCCAGCCCTCAACTTTTTTTTACCGAAACACTTAGATGCCAAAGAGTTTAAGTAATATTTTATTAATGAAGAAGTGGTAAGTCAGATAGTAAAGATAAACTCTGTTATGACAGTTGCCTCTGTCACCATTTACTTGAATGTGAATGTTTTTATTGGCACGACTGGGTGTTTGTTTGTTTTAATGTGAATGAGGAGTGTTTGCCTGCCTGTGTGTGCAGACATATGCAGTCTTGTGCTCTGAAAGGTCAGAAGAGGGCATCAAATCCCCTGGAACTGTTTGTGAGCCTCCCTGTGGGCACTGAGAACCGACCCCCTGGCTCTACAAGAGCAGCCAGTGCTCCTAAATGCCAAGCCATCTAGCCCCATAGTGACTTTCTACTCACTTTTATAGTCACATGAAGTTTTTCCATTGGCTTTCAGTCAAGTTACAACAAGCTATAGAGTTTTGTTTGTTTGTTTTTTGAAATGGGATTTCTCTGTGTATCTTTGGAGCCTGTCCTGAAACTCCCTCTGTAGACCAGGCTGTCCTCGAACTCACAGAGATCCAGCTGCCGCTGCCTCCCGAGTGCAGGGATTAAAGGCGTGCGCCACCACCCCCCAGCTAGCTGTAGGTTTTTAAAGAAGAGAACCAAGCTGGCAAGATTCTCAATGGGGAAAGAACTTGCTGGCTGACCACCTGAATAGAATCTCTAGAACCCTTGAAAAGGTAGAAGCGAGTTGACAAGCTTATCCACTGACCCAACATGCAGAGTAGCAGTAAACTAAAACTGAGTAAAGGTGGGGAAGCTACGTGGCGACCTTGAAACTAGCCAGGACTAGTACCAAGGTCGCCTCAGAAAGCTGGAGACAGCCCACTAGTGAAACCCTTGCCTGGCATTCTTGAAGCCTTGGGTTTAATCATGAGTATCATGAAAATGTTAAAAAGGAAAGAGTTAGATATATATGGTTTAAAATGATTTCTGCTTTGAAGTCCATTATAATTAATATAGCATGTGTTTGGGGCCTGGAAGAAGCATGACCTAGTATCTTTTGATGTCACTTCTGGACAAAAATTCAAAATTGTAGTATTTGATAATAATGTCAGTTTGGGTTCCTGTTAGAGTGGGAAAACTCGGGAGACTGTAGGTCAGTTTTATGCAAATGCAAGAACATAAAAGGACACTGTCAGAAGGAAGTCCAACAAAGTCACGTCCTCCCTAGGACATGTCTAACTGTTAGACCCCATGGCAAAGGGAGTGAAAACCACAGGTGGAATTAGGTTGCCAATAGGGCAACCCTAAATGGGATTACCCTGGAGTATCGAGCTGGGCCCAGAGTCATCACAAGGGTCTTTACACGTGGCTATATAACACCAACCTGCTATTGCTGGGGTGTCTGCTTAAGTGTATGAGTGGAGAATCCCCCGTTAGCTCCATCCCCACCACTTCTGGGTTTGAAGGTAGAAGGAGGATAAGAGCGAAGGAATAGCAAGAAAGAAGTGAACGTCCCTGTTGAATGTAAGCCCAGTGAGACACACCCACAAGCCTCCAGTTAACGAATGAGTGCATGGTGTTTGGACTGCTTCGTTAGCACACTTGCAGGAAAATGGTGCTAGCACATAAGAGGCCAAAAAGTCAGTTAAGTCCGAAGTAATAGCGCTGCAACAAAAAACTCATATCTCCACAAAGTCCAGAAAACATTGAGACACCTGTAATTTTAGAAACTTGGAAATCAAGCTTTTAGTAAATAGAATCTGCGCATGCCAAACTTTGAGGCTGCAGTTAGTTTGAGCCTTTCTCTGGAGTGCATCCGTTTTAACTCTAGGGGGAGCCCTTCCTGATAACCTGGGCTGTGGGTGAGGGAAGAACCTAGCGTAATGGGAGCCCTCGGTAAGGCCAGCTCTCAGCAGACAGATGCAAGAGAATTGTAAACTTGAAGCCAGTGAGACCCAGCCTCAGGAAGAAAAAAAGACTCTTAGTTTTAGCTTTGCTAACTATGTGTCTGCATTATTCCTCAGCACTGCCGCCACCCCCACCCACAAGGTAAAGAGAAGCAAATAGTGTCAGGGTTTGCACTCAAACCGAGAGCTGATGGGCTGCGCAAGAATCATTCTGGTTCCCAAAGGAATTTAGAACCTGGAGCTCCTCTATAGACCAGGCTGGCCTGGAGCTCCTCTATAGACCGGGCTGGCCTTGCTCTCACAGATCCACCTGTGATGATCATGAATACCTACAAAGCCAAAGGTTACTGGAAGACAACCAAAACTAGAAAATTGAGGGCATGGCTCGGCCCACACTGTGGTTTCAGACATCTGGTCTCAAAATAAAATAAAATAAAATAAAAAGCCAAGTAGTGGTGGTGGTACATGCCTTTAATCCTATCACTTGGGTGTGTGGGTGTGGGTGTGTGGCAAATCTCTGTGAGTTTGGGTCCAGCCTGGTCTACAAAGTAAGTTTCAGGCCAGCGAGGGCTAAACAAAGAAACCCTGTCTTGAGAAACAAAACAAAACAAAACATTCTTTGTGTGTGTGTTCAGGATTTTAGAGGTTGTAAACCATCTGATGTGGGTTCTGGGAACAAACCTTTGGTCCTCTGTAAGAACAACAAGCTCTCTTATCCACTAAGCCATCTCTTGTTTCTAGCATTCTGTAGAGTTTGGGAAAAGATTCTTTCTTTTTACTTTTTTTTTTTAAGGTATATTTCTTTAGGTGTGGGTATGTGTTCGGGTGCACATGCCATAGGTGTGCACGCAGAGATCAGAAGACCCCCGAGAGTCAGTTCTTTCCCTTCCACCAAGCTAGTCCAGGGATCCAGCCCAGGACATCAGGCTTACCAGCTGAAGACTATATCTGCCTGGCTGCCATTTCTTCAAATGCTTTTTTTTTTTTCCTTTTCGAGACAGGGTCTCGGTATGTAGCCTGTAGACCAGGCTGGCCTTGAACTTACGGGGAAATACTCTCCCTCTCAAGTGTTGGAATTAGAGGTGTGCACCATCACACAAGGAACTGAAATACTTTAAAATTACCCAACACATAGGCCATGAAATCATAATTATTGTTGGCACTGGACCCTTACAATGTTTTCAAAGTTGGTATCTTTGTCAACAACCAGAGAGTCAGTGGAGGTCATCTCAGCTAAGTCAATATATCTCTGGCCCTAGACGTTTTAAAAATGTCAAGGATTCTCTCAAGGGCAGTGAAGAATCTGAGCTGCAGGGGAATGTCTGAGCCTGGTCAGCCACAGCAAGAGCTAATGTTAAAATGTCCTAGAGTTCTGCGGAAGCTGCTGGAAAGTAGGCAAATTTGACAACCAAGAGGCATGGGCTTTTTGAATTTTTGTTTTGTGTATTTCTGAAAATAGCTCACTAAACTATAAAAGGAACCCACCAAAGCTCACAAGAGTGGAAGAGTAAGTAGAAAATTCCTTTGCCCCGAGACCCGAGCCTTTAGGAAAACCATCTCGAGGAGGTGTACAATGTCCCAATACTGTCTCTCCCAGTGTGCCTCAGAACTCACAGCTGCTTTACTCAGTCCTGCAAGATTTACGTCTCTGACCCGGCGGGGTGACTCACACCTTTAATTCCAGGCAGAGGCAAGTGGATCTCTGAGTTTGAGGCCGGCCTGGTGTGCAGGAGTTCCGGGACTGTTGGAGTTACCCAGAGAAACCCTGGGTCGAAAAACCAAGTATTCACACGGGCTGGAGAGATGGCTTGGTGTTGAAAAAAGCGCTTGCTACTTAAGAGTACCTTTACCTAATTGTCCTGTTAATAGTTTTGTTTTATTTTCCCCCCCACCTAATGCTCCTAGTGAGTTGTGAGCTGCCATGTGGGTGCTGGGAATTGAACCCCGGTCCTCCGGAAGAGCAGCCAGTGCTCTTAACCATTGAGTCATCTCTCCAACCCGTGATTTTTTTTTTTAAGGCAGGGTCTTATATAGCCTATGGTGTCCTTAAACTTGCTATGTTGCCAAAGATCTTGAACTCCTGATCCTCCTGCCTCCACCCCTCCACTCCCTGAGTGTTGAGATTATCTGCTTGCGCCAGCACGCCTGGTTTTATGCGCTACTGGGTATTGATCCCATGCTAGGTAAGCGCTTTACCCTGTATTTAAGGTCTTGGAAACAGTGGCTCGCTTAGAATTCAGCCATCGCCAGGGGGAAACCTTACGCAGCCTTTAGTCATAAACCTGTCGCTTGTAAAGTTTTCCCACTACCTTTTCCTAGGGAAGCTAACGCAGTGGGTGGGATTAAGTGGCCTCCACCTGGAGGATAAACCGTATCTGCACAATGATTCCTGAATCTGGTGTCCAGCGTGATCTGGAGGAGAGTTTCTCCATAGAACAGAGCGGGTCAGGCACGTAACAGCCATTTCTCAGTTACCTATCTCTCTTCTGGGATGCAGCGCTTAAGCGGCTGCCCGGAAAGGGGCGCCGGAAAGCATCACTATTAGAACAGGATAAGCGGACCAAGGTGCAGACCACTAACTCAAACCCCCTCCCACGTGTCCCGGGCGGGGGAGGCACGCGATCTGAAACTCCACCGCCAGGCGGGGCGCTCCTGAGGCTCCGCCCTCGGAGCCTGGGTTGCCTGCTCCCCGGCTGCATCTCTGCGCGTCGGGCGATGTATCTCCGAAGGGCTGTGTCTAAGACTCTGGCGCTGCCCCGGAGGGCGCCCTCCGGACCTGTGCCACTGGGAAAAGACGGTGAGTGCCCCGTACATCTCCGTGGGTCCAGGCTGGAACCAGCGCCCAGAACCCGCCAACACCCTAGTAGCCTAGACCAGAGATGAAGGAACAGTGAGGGAGGGTCTCAGACAAGCACTCCGAAGTTCTTGGAAAGTTTGGAAATAGGGAACTTTTCTAGGTATGCCTCTGAATTAGCCTTCCTGGGTTCCAGCGCTTATCTCCGGTAAGGAATTTTCTCTTCATTTTTTTAAACGAGGATCACAGTGGCTGTAATTAATAAATGTGGAGTGAAAAATCACTTCGAAGAGGGTCTGGCTCACTCTTAGAGTCCCAAGTAGATTATTCAATGAACCTCTAGGCTCCCCAAGAGATAAAGAAACAGATGTATAGGTGGACGTGGGTTGTCCACACGCCAGCAGGTGGGTTCCAGTCAAGGTTCCATTTCAGGGAACACTGGTGGTCTTGACCTCGAAATCTCCCGGCCCTGAGCATCCACCCTTCGAAGGGAATGGCCTCGGCCTCGGGTCATTCTTCTGACGTTGCAGAGAAGCTTAGAACTCCATCACCTTTGGATTAGGGAATGCGCGAGGAAAGAGCTCTTGGGAATTTTCTAAAGAGGAAAGAACCGAGTAACATAACGCCGCCTAGAACAGAGTAGGTGCTTAATAGGTGCCGGATCTAGACCAGTTTGCAGTTCCTCTCCGAGCCGCCTTTCCTGGTCCTCACCCCCACCCCCACCCCCACCCCGCGCGCTCCCCTGGTCCATCACTCACTGAATCCCTGCTCTTGGATGCTGGAAAGTTAATTCTTGCTGTGCTTCACCCAACTCCCTGAGGCATCCACGGCGGCAGCGCGAGGATTTAAACGAGGGAGACAGGAAAACGCCTGCAGAAAATTCCATGAGCCACAGAGGTTTTTGAGTTTGGTTTGTCCACTTGTTTGCCCAGCTTTGATTAGGCCTATGTGTGTGGTGGAGGGTGAGAGGAAGATGTATCCATCCTCCTGTTCTTTTAAATGTTACTTGAAAGACGTCTCCCCACACGTGTTAAGATGCCTTCTCCTCACTGTATAACTCTTAAGATAGCAATTTTCATCATCGATGAGGTAGGGAGAAGCCATTTCGTTTAAGCTGTAGATACTGAGGCTGTTCTGATGTCCAGAGAAGGAGAAAGATGAGCACACACACACACACACACACACACACACACACACACACACACACAC